CCTGCCCTGCCCAGCATGACCATTATCCTGTTTCATGTTCATCAACCTATTGCTTATACACCTATACGCACAATGTTATTACAAATATATGTGTGCTTAACTGTATGGATGAGCTAAATGTAAACAGATTTTTTTTAAAAAAGGCATTTACCTACAGCATCTGAGAAACACACAGCTATTGCCTAGATCCCATGCTTTACCTGAGCACACTATCCTTGAATTCTGCGGGCTGAGTTGGGTGGGATGGGAGGTGGGGAAATAAGGCTTTTGACCATCCATGTATACTTTTGGAAATGGAAATTAAGAGGTCATCGCAAATAGTTTTCACAGAATATGAAAAGCAGAAGCAGAGAAGAAAGGGAGAAAAGGAATATAGAAGCCCTTTGAAAGTGCTTTCTCTAGAAATGGAAAATCAGTGAATCTGCCAACAGGGCAAGTTTGAGGCTTAACACCAGATTCTCCTTATTGCTATGCTTACTTCAAAATGGTTAACAGAAAACTCCTAAAAATAAAATGTTTCCTGATTTCAGTCTCTGAACTGAAAACATTTCCATGTTTTCTTCTCCTTTCAAGATTTGTTTTCATTGTGAAAGATCTAAGATACTTTCTTAATAGAAAAAAATTACATGATTATGAACTTTGAAAGAAAGAAAGAAACAAAAAAGAAACAAAAAAAGAAAAAAGATTCCATAACTAGAAGGAGTTTATGTTTCACTGCCTTTTGTATTTATGGGTAAGAAGATTCAATATTATAAAAATGTAAACTCTTTTCATTTGAGCTGTAAATTCAATGAAATTCCAAAGTCCTAGCAGATTTTGTTTAGATACTTAACAATCTGATTCTGAAATGTCTGTGGCTGAGCAAAGGCCCAAGATTAGCAAAACCATTCCTGAAAAATAAGATAGAAGGGGTTGCTCTACCAGATTTCAAGACATATATCAAACAATGGTAATTAAAACAGTGTGACAGTGATACAGGACAGCATAGGGTGACAGAATTGAGTGCCCCAAAACAAACCCATGAGTATATGGAAGTTTGATATATGACACAAAGGACATTGTAGATCATGAAAGGAAGAAGACACAATTTAATCAATTATGCTGGTATAACTGACTACCCACATGGAAAAATATGAAATTGGATACCTACCTCACAGCCATGCCCGTAGATCAATTCTAGATTGATTAAAGATTTAATGATTAAAGGGAAAAACCTTCAAAAGTTACCAAAAAAATACAAAATACCTATGAACCAGACATAAGGAAGGACTTCTTAAACAACACACAAAAAGAACTGGATTTTTGTGCAAAAAATTAAGTCAGAAAATAACAGGTGTTAGCAAGCAAATGGGTCAAGGGGAATTCCTACAGACACTGCTAGAGGAAGTGTAGATTGAAATAACTGAAATCACTTTGGAAAGCAGTTTGGCATTTACCTGTAAAGTTGAATATTTGTGTATTTGTGTATGACACAGCATTCCATTCTTTGGTCTGTACTCTACAACAATGCTTCTCTCACTTTAACGAGCACCAGAATCACCTGCAGAGCCACACAGTTTGGGGGCCCCACTCCTGGAGACTCTGATTCAATAGGTCTGGGATAAAGCCTGTAAATGTGTATTTCTGAGATGCACCTGGGTGCTGGGGCTGCTGCTGGTTTCTATTCACGATTGGAGCAATGCTGCTCCAGATATCTTCTCTTATGTCTTGGGAAATAGGAATAAGAATATTCAAAGCCACATTGTTCATAACAGCAAAAATCTGGACACAAGCCAAATATCCATCAGCAGAAGAATGGATAAATAAACTGTAGTATGTTCACACAGTAAGGTATCATACAATATTGAGAATGAATGAATGACAAGTACATACAACAACCTGGATAAATCTTAGAAGCATAATGAAAAAGTAAGTCACAGAAAATTATATACAGCATGATACCACTTTTATAAAGCTAACACATTAAATAATATATTGCTTCAGAATATGAAGCAATGAATAAAAGCCACAAAAACAGAAAACGGAAGAATCATATAACTAGATGCCACTGTGTGGGTATTATGGTAGCTTTTCAGGTGGGTGATGGGTTTTCATACGCTTCCAAACTCTCATGAAAGTTTTACGTATGTGAAAATTTGTTATAAATATTTGTCATATATATATGGAAAACATATATGTAGCACACATAAAATGGAAAACGATTTTTAACTGAGTGCAAGACAATCAGGTAATCTAAATGAGACAAGATTTACAAGGCAAGTAAAACTGTAATAACAATTAAAATACTCATTGTACTTAGCAGATGACAGAAATGATCCTGGAGAAAATGCAGAAGACAAACCTGAGAGGTCCTCTTGCAGAGTGAAAACAAAAGTGAAAAACAGTGAGAAAGGAGATGATAGAAGTGCATGACTGAAGGTGGAGGGTTAACAAACAGATTCCTAAAACAAAGATTAGAGCAAACTGAGAGAAAAAGAATTCAAAGCTATACTTATAGAAAATTCTCACATGTTAAAAATAAAAGCCTTAGTTTTCCTGATCAAAAGTACTCCCCAAATATCAGCAAGTTAATGCAGAAATCCACATTGACATATTCCTGATAAAAGTTCAGATATCAAGAATAAAACATGACTTCTATAAGCATCCTAGCAGATAAAAGATAGAAAATAGACAAACATAGAATAAAAGTCTCACTAGCCTCAAATTTCTCAACAAAATTGACAAAAGTTTTTGTAAAAGAAATTACAAAAAATGATTTCAAAGTTTATTTGGAAAAATAAGTGTATATGACTAGTTAAAGAAAGTTTGAATGAAGGAAGAAAAATTATAAATGAAATGAACTTGAATCTCTAGATACTAAAATGTAAACTATAATAATGAAAATGATGTAAAATGGATAATGTTATATTACAAATTATAATGCATATATTACATGTTATATATTTATACATTTTTACATATATGTAAAACTTGGTATGTGAAAAAGATGAATTTGGAATAGGTTATCAATTATATGATGCTACAACTAGTTGTAAAATAATTTAGAAAATAATTAGTACCATACACAAAATATTTTTCAATGAATTAAGAGGTTAAATTTTTAAATGATTATAAAAAGAACTAGAAGAAATATCAGTGAATATTGATCTGATCCTTGTGTGAGGAAAGACTTTCTAAAAATAAAAGAAGCTAAAGAAATCAAAAGAGTGATATCTTTTCCTATAATTTTTTTTTAAATTGGCCATGTCAAAAAATCATAAAAAGTGATAAAAAGTAAACTACAAATTTGGGTGGAATATTTGTTCCATATATATTCCAAAGATTCTTACTAAAAATATTAAAATCAGTATCAAAAAGGTGGATATCCCATTGGAAACTGGGTAACTGTGATAATCACGAAGCTTACTTCAAATCAAAAATATAGAAATTATAGTCAAATAAGAGCAAATTGAACAAATGAGGTTTTTTTCATTTATATAATTGACAATGATAAAATACTTAGCATTTTAAATAGTAAGACGCCATATTAAACAGCCATTCTGAGGACACTTAGTGTTAATTAAGGTAGATGGTTAGGCAAGGCTTAGAGCTCACTACTCAGGGCTGGTTTAGAGCTATTCTGGTGGCAAAAGGGCTCTGAGACTTGAGTCTGATTTATGCACTTCAACAGACATTTATTTTTACTTTTATTTTATTTTTAATTTTTTTTAAATGTTTTATTTATTTTTGAGAGAGAGAGAGATAACATGAGCAGGGGAGGGTCAAAGAGAGAGGGAGGCACAGAATCCAAAGACAGGCTCCAGGCTCTGAGCTAGCTGTCAGCACAGAGCCCGACGCAGGGCTTGAACCCACTAACCGGGAGATCATGAGCTGAGCCGAAGTCAGACGCTCAACCGACTGAGCCACCCAGGCGCCCCAGACATTTATTTTTAAGCAGCTGATGTTATAGATGACCATACAAGAGGGGGGAAAAGAGAAGATCATTAAAATGTTTCTTCCTGGAAAGATGAAGGCTGAGAAAAGATGCTTGATGTCTTTAAGGCCTTAAGTAGCACGAATGCAGTGAATGGCAGGATTATGGAATTCCAGAACTGGAGGGGGAGGGAGGAAGCCCCTAAAAAAATTAGGAAGACCTTTTTTACATGACGAGTTATGAACATTGAAGTCATTACCCCATAATCGGATATTAAGAGAAAATACAAAACAAGTACAAAATACAAAATATATCTCGTATCAAAAGCATAAAAACAAAATATGATAATAGCAAATACCATGGAAGTTAAGGTGGCAGTGAATAGGCATTTGTAAGTTCAAATACATATGTGGGTCACAGATTGAGTATTTATTAATCAGTTACAAATGGATGCTGGAAGGGTTAAAAGCATCACATTCTTTTATCTTAGAATTACTCTTTTTATTTTAGAATTCTTGAGGATGACCAAGAATTAGCAGCATGGTTTGCAAACATTCTTCTGTTTGTGTTTCTGGCCTGGAATCCAGGAGAATCTGGTCTTTTGCCTAGCGGACCTTCATCTCCTCTCACCACACTAATAGCCGTTAGTGACAATATTTGGAGGATGACATTTTGGATTCTCATACTGATGACAATTCTAAAGATTGAAAATCTTCTATTCTATAGTTAAATACAGGTCATAAACCAGTATGAAAGTAAAGTCATAGGAAAAGAAAGTTAAAAATGTAAGGCCCTACCAAGTTATTATTTCATATGTGAAAAACTTTGATTCATTTGTTTTGTAGGCTGGTCTGAGTCCACACCACTTACCCCATTTGGTCATTTGAAAAGGCCGTTTTAGACAATGCCCATTTCATCATCAACCCAAGGTGAACACTTTGTTGGGTTGACATGCTTACAGGATTAGGGACTCATTAGTTGTGGTTCACTGTACCCCTGGTAAGAAGTGGTTTCTGGTATTGGTATGTTTACTCATGACACTCAACATGCCTCTTTCTCTGACTCTCCATCTCTCTGTTCCCCTCAGGACTACTGGCTCTCCCTCCTTTACAAACGCCTGATTGGTCCCAAAGTCTTGGCTGTGCATGTGGCTGGGCTCCAACGGAAGCCACGGCCAGGCAGAGTGATCCGGGACAAACTAAGGATTTATGCTCACTGCACAAACCACCACAAGTAAGTCTGCAGAAAGATGTCACAGAAAACCACTCCCAAGGGGCTTCAGGCTTTGGGCCCCTCTTAAAATTCCCCCATAATATTTGGGGACCCCTGTAAGACTTACTGTAAACTGCTTCTTGCATTATTCCTGGTTTTTGCAGGTTTCATATGATCTCTGATAAATAGCTTTTATTCCAGGCAAAGCCATTTTCTCACTCTCAGAGGATTTATGCACAAAAAGTTCATAAAAATACATGCCATTTGTTCATTTACTTCTTCATCCAACAAATTTTTTATTGAGCATTTTCTCTGTGCCAGTTGATGTAATGCCCATGAGGCTTTTTATGTGTACCTATGCCTGAATCAAGGCTACAGATATAAAATTTGTTCCTCTGGTCCACCAGCAGGGCTTGAGGAGATAAGTTTCTGTTTCTAAGGTGCATGCTGGAGAGCTATACCACTAGAAACCAAGCCCTAGACCAGAGTGTCCCAAGCCAGAAGTGCCCAAAGGTAGTCATGCCAGCATTAGAACCATTTTCAGAATTTCAGAAATCTTTCCAGCTATTTTAAATGTTAAGAGATTAAATAAAATCTAGTCTTCCTTTTTTTTTTACAGGGCTAGACTTACAACAATCAGTGCAGTAATCCTTCTCTTTTTGATCTGAAGCACTGGTCGTCACTAAAGTTGTCTGTAAACAAACAAACAAAAATAATCATCATTAAATAAATAAAGTTTGGCAGATAAAATATTTTAAAACATGAAGATCATAAGGTAAAAATTGAAAACCTAGCCTAAAGCCAAATCCATCTGACCAAATATGGCTTTCTTACATCACTTCCTATTTAAGGAGCAAAGTAGGCAGCTTGGAAAAAGAGAACTCTTTCTCTTAATGCAGAGAAACCCTGGGGGTGAGGGAGGGAGAGGAGGAAGCAAGTGCTTCCAGCCAGACCTTCATTCCAGTGGGCCTATCAGGCGCTGATCATAGGCAGTGGATAGCACAAAGAGCTCTAGTGGTCAGATTACAATAGATGCTCCTTCCCCTTCCTTGATGAGAGAGGAGCCAAGCCAATTGATTTATCATGATAAGATTTTTCAAAGAATCACTCTGAACATAGCAGGGCTAGGGGCCCGTTGTCTTGTCTGTAGATACAAGTGTCTATTGTGGATGATAGGAGTCTGGTTTGGGCAGAGGCCAGAGGCTTTCAACGTCCCTTTTGCTCGACAGGAAGCTCAATCCAATACCTGACAGAGAGTGACTACTTTATGGCTTTGGCTGGAGTTATCTGATCACCACACAAGGAAACATTGTATTCCAAGTCTCCACCCTGGCCCTGAGGAAACCACTCAAAAGGTGGACCCCCAGCTTCAAGAGAGAAAAATTACCCTTGGCACCTTTTGTCTCTGTTGGGAAGAACATCAATTGTGCCCTGTTTACTATTGGTCTGAGGAACCAGGGGGAAAATATCAGTAGCTATGGGCTTAGCAGAATTTGGGTGTCCTTACAGAGGGCTCCTCACATAGTCCCATCTCAATGCTCATCCTGACATTCTTTGACATTCTTTTAGGAAGTTATCACTAATATTCTGAATATACCATGAACTCAGGGCCACTGTCTCATTCATTGTTCTATTTATTCTTAGTGTCTAATACAGTGATTGGCATGAAGAAGATCTCAGTGAATGTTTGATGGATGAATGAATGAACGAATGCAGGCATAGGGCGTCAAGACATCACTGATGATTTCCAGTTCTAGCCTCTCTTCCCCTTTGATATCAGCACAGCATCCAGAAGGAGGCGGCGATGTGGTAGAGTAGTTAATTATTCTACCATTCCCTAGCATGAGACCTCAAACAAGTTACTAAAATCATTTGGATTAAATACTCTCCCTACATCACCAGTGCTCCTCTACTTTCTATGGGAACTCAGTTCAGAACCTCACTGGGGAAACGGTGTTGCTGTGCTTCTGTCAGTATCATCCCTCTTCTCCATTAAAAAAGAAAGATAAAACGTGACTAATCTATTGCACATATGGCCTTCATGATAATAATAGAGGTGAAGGCCTTTTTGTTCCTATTAGAAAAGTAAGCCCATGATGGACACACTGAGCTCGTGGAGGTTGCAGGTCTCTTCCGTGTCTGTGGATGTTAAGTGACCCAGATAGGTAGGCACAGGGACAGGACAAGTGCCTCTGCTCCTTCTTCCTGGGAACCCACGTGCCCTGTCCGTGCCCCTTCGTCTTGCACAACAGTCACAAGGCAGCACTACTGATTCACTTAGTTTATTCATGGCCAACAAGGGCAAGGTCACAGAAATGTCCCAGAGTTGGCGTATTGGCTTCACAGTATTCAATCTTGACCAATACTCTGAAAATATATATCCTCGGTCAAAACAGGGATTGGGTGAGAAAGTATAAACTTATCAGTAGAACAACCCAAAGAGAGTGTCTATTGAAACAACTCCTGCACTCCAGTGTACATGGAACACTTGCTATGTGCCAGGCATCTTGCCAGATGTTTGTACTTGTATTACCATATTGAATTCCAAAATTTTTATATGGTATCATCCCTATACACAAATAACAACATTAATAATGCAAAGAATTTTTCGTTTGGGAAGAATCCTTAGAGATCTTTTGGTCCAGTGTCCTATACAACAGAAATTCCTTTTACAGCCCCCTTGATTGACGGTTATGCCACCTCTAGTTGAATACCTCCCTGCCCTTGCTAGCAGTCTTGTGCATTGTGATTTGATTTTGACCTAGGAGAGTGTTGTATTTTAGGATTGATTTAGGTCTGCACACCAACACGAGCAGGTGCTTTTCTGCCTTCTCTCCTAGAATTAACAGATGAGGAGCCTGGCAGCATGGCAACTCTTGCCTGAGGTCTTCTTGTTCAGAGAACAAACAAGTTTTGACTGGGAAACCTTGTTTTTATAAAGCATTCTGCTGAAACAATGTATGTTTCTGGGGAGGAGTTGAGATCTTTAGTCAAGTTCAGAACCAATTGGAACCTGGTGGATATTGAAGCAAAACTGAGCCTTTTGGGGTTCAAGTTTGTTTATTATTGGCAAAACACGACTTCCTGTTTTTTAGAAGAATTTTTTTAAAGACTCATAAAAAAGGTTCCTGAGGCTTCTTGGACATCAAATGGCTCTTACAAAACAATATTTTGATGAGTTAAGTGTAAATGAATCAGAAACATGTGGATTAAATTTCCCTTAAAATACACAGGGGCTTTGAAATTAAGGGAAAAAAATGTTTGGCAAAACATGGCCTGACTTTTCCCGAACCCAAAAACTTTGAGTTAGATTCGGAGACAATGGACCAACCCAGTTTTCAAACACATGGACTTCCATTGGAAATGGACCATGGATTTCAAAGCACTGTCTTCCCTTCCCTGTCCTCATCTCTCAGCTTCACTGGAGACATTTCTAGAACAACAACTGTTTTTTATCTGGATATCAAGATGCACCTCTCCATATGATGTCCCCTACCTCTTATATCCAGGATACTCCACTTTGAGCCTCCCTTCCCTCACTCACTTCCTCCTACCCCCATGGCATCACAGAGAAGATGTCAGGCAGCAAAAGAAAAGCCAAAAGATGAACACCAGATGCATAAATTCTCTACTCGTGAAAAAGTCTCACCATAAGTGAGACATGGAGTCATATAGATGCTCTACCAGAAAGAAAGGGACATTCGCTAAGAGAACCAAAAGCCACCTGGACTTGACGTCAGAAGACAAGCAATTGCCTCTCAGCCATGTATTCTGTCAGACTCCATCTTCTTAGGGAACAGATACTCCCCTCCTAGATTACTTTTCTGTGGGCAGAGAATACATATTCTTCAGGAATCTGGATTCTTGACACAGTACTTTAAGGTTGGTGCTGCACTCCCCAGCCAAAATGTGTCTTCACAGCCAGAGGACCTCTACCTAATGTCCTTGCCCATCAGCCAGGCAGGAAAAGGGATGGCCGAGGCAGTCTTCAATGCCAGTTCCTACCTGAGGAGGCTCCATTCATTCTGTGAGAGCCTCTGCACATTGGTCTTTGAGCTGGCTTTCAGTACAGGTTTGTCTCCCCCAGGGGAACTATGTAAATGGAAATCAGACCATTGCCAAGCAGCTTGAAAAGACAGCTTTCCCTGCAGCAATGCTGTGATTTCAGGTCTCCCTCCCACCCACCACTTCCCCACATCCCACCCTTCTCCTCTGCAGTCTCTGAGGGCTCATTCTGCCCCAGCTCTGCAGAGGAGAAACTTGTAAATGCAAGCACTCTGCTCTCCCTCCTCCACAGCTAACCTTTGAGAAGGTTATCTGATGGTACTTAGCAAAAGAGCTTACCACAGCCTGGCAAAATTGGTACCCATGCATGCCCACTTTTGCTCATGCTCTGAAGCCCAGGGTACCTGTACTTAATGATGTTTGCCTCAGTTTCCTCGCTAAGCTAAGCTTAAGCCCACCCACCAATGGAATATAGTTGGTATTCTTTTAATGATGGTAAATGCTGACACAAGGCTAGTAGCCTCTCTCTCCTGAGCTCTGGTGACCCAAGTTTGCTCAATAAATGGGCATTCTCTTCTCACCTAACTCAGCTGTCTCCAAAAGCTACTTCATATAATTCAGAAGATTGAGAAGGACCAGAGGAGGAGGAGCCAGAGAGAAGTCATTTAATAATCTATCAGAATATCAATGCAGACATCTAGAAAGCCTTGAACACAATAATGTACCCTCCTACAGATGCAAGAAAAACCATCTGACACATAGTCAGAGGAATGTACTTTGGGAATTACTCTCATAAACTTAATGGATTGCTCTAGGCAAGTGGTTCCTAAACCCAACTCATCTGCCAAATATCCTGGATATATATGTATATATCCTAGCCCCCATCACAAATGGATGGAATCAAAACCTCCAGGATAATCCCTGGTAACTGTATTATTAAAAAACAAAACAAACAAACACAACCCAAGTTCTCATGTTGACTTGCCCTTAGTCACTCTACTCTTAATTAGCGCCTTTAGAAGCAGAGGTGAGTGACCCAGAGGCTAAGGGATGCTGCTTCTGCAGGGAATGACATTTTCCTCTGGGCAAAGTTGACTTAGAATTTCTCTGAACTCCTCTTTTGAAGGCAGGACTGGGTCATTTCTCCTGTTTCCTCTCATTAACCCATCCAGATGGGGCCCTAGGGGACCCCTTAGAAACAAAGTCTTTTTTCCTACAAGAAAGAAGGAAATCATTATAGTTTTGTTGATACATGCTGGAAGGCTTTTGCATGTAGGCATATGGTTCTTCCAGGCTTCTGAACATCCTGTGCTGGTTTAAAAGGATTCCAAAATGTGAGTAGTTTTATAATCTTGGTGTAGGTAAAACAGCAAAAGCATAAATCAAAAAGATCGATAAATTTGACTGCCTAAAAGTTTTTAACTTTTTTTCTTGAGAGATAGCACATACGAGTGGGGGAGGGTCAGAGGAAGAGAGAGAGATCATCGCAAACAGGCTCCATGCTCAGCACGGAGCCTGATGCAGGCCTCGATCCCACAATCCTGGGATCATGACCTGAGCTGAAATCAAGAGTTGGGTACTTAACTGATTGAGCCACCCAGGTGCCCTAAGTTTTTAACTCCTATTCGTCAGAATACAATATAAACAAACTGAATTGGCCAAAGAAACCTGGAGAAAATTTTGCAACATACATGCAGGCAAAGGACCACCATCTTTAATAAATAGTTTTTTATAAATCAATAGAAAGTGGGCAAAGGTGATGAACAGTCAGTTCACACGAGAGATGAAATGACAAGCAGGCAAATGAAAATAATGTTGCACCTCAGCATGAATGTTTTAAAAATACAAATTAATACAACATTGAAATCCCATTACCTCTCAGGTTGAGAAAGGTGTTTTATTTTATTTTTAATGTTCATTCACTTTGAGAGAGGGTGGGGAGAGGGCCAGATAGAGAGGGAGACACAGAATCCGAAGCAAGCTCCAGGCTCTGAGCTGTCAGCACAGAGCTCGATGTACGGCTCGAACTCACAAACTGCAAGATCATGACATGAGCCAAAGTCCGACACTTAACCCACTGAGCCACACAGGCACCCGAGAAAGGTATTTTAAAAGGTTAATATCCATTATCCTTAAGGGTATGAGGAAATGGGTGCACCTACAGATAGCTGCTCAGAGTAAATTGGTACAAGCTTTCTAGATAATTAATATCAATGTTAAGAAAATGTGTGTATCACTCAGGATAGGTAGGGTGATGCTATGATAATGGAGAATCCACAAATCTCCATGGCTTCCCATAAGAAAGTGTACTTCTCATTCATACGACTTGTGTGCCATGACTCAGCTGTAGCTCTGCTCCACATTCTTTCACTCCAGGTGGAGGTCAATAGAGTCACCTTGGTCAAGAGCATCGATGGTCTTTTGACACAGGAAAAAGACATAGCAAAACACAGGCTGCCTCTTAAAGCTTCTGCCCAAAAATTTTAACAGCACATTTCATTCATTGGCCAAAGCCAATTGTGTAATCTCTAGGGTTCAATGGAGCAAAGACAAAAAATCTTCCCACAGGAAGGGGCATCACTAGAAATGAAGCAGAAGATTTGGTTAGGAACCATGCAATGTGTATTCCTCTTGACCTAATGTGTTCAACTTGCAAGACTGTATCTGAAATAACAGTGATATGCAAAAATTTATATAAAGGAATATGTAATTTGCAATGGAAAAAAATTGAAAACAATGTCCTCAAGTGTAGGGGGTTAAATAAACAAATTATGTTACATTTCTATGATTGAAGAATTTAGCATTCTTCTGTAAGTAGAAGAAAATACAATAAATAACATAATAACATGGGAATATGTTTAAGATGTTCACAAACTTAAAAAACAATGTGGTCCCAATTAAATGAAAACTGAGAAATGTATATGGATGTGTCAAAGTACTCCATAAATATTTGAATTAATATTGAATTAATAAAACAAAAACACTGGAAGGATGTTTACCAGAATTTTATCATATCTCAAGATATTTATTATAGGATAATTTTCTTTTCCGTCTTTGTATTTCTCTGTATTTTCCCTTTTCTTCTGCAATTGGCATGTTTTATTTTCATTCTCAGAAAAAAGATATTTTGTTTTCTAAAATCACTGTAATACATTTAAACAAAAACAAAAAGAGTTTGGTGGGAAGCAGGTATCTTTGCAGAAAGCCACAATAACAAAGCCTTCCTGTCCTTGAAGGTCTAGGGTGGCCAAGAACTATAAAATAATGCCTTTTCCTGAGGCAGTTCTGTTTGGTACAGTCTATAAATTATTTAGCATCAACTAACTGACCACTTTCCATCTTTCCTTTCTCTCTCTCTCCCTCTCTCTCTCTCCATGTCAGCCACAACTATGTTCGAGGGTCCATTACACTTTTTATCATCAACCTGCACCGATCAAGAAAGAAAATCAAACTGGCCGGGACTCTCAGGGACAAGCTCGTTCACCAGTATCTGCTGCAGCCCTATGGACAGGAGGGCCTCAAGTCCAAGTAAGTGCAAACCTGGAAATAGCTTAGGAACAAGTGCAGTAGGAGCTGGGAGGGGAAAGAGCTAGAATTGCCCGTTTGATGGTGCTAATTTACTTGGGGGCTCAGTGGAATGGGGTGAAGGGACTGCTGACTCAAGCCCCTCCCTGTCTCTAGGCTTAGATTTCTCAACTGTAGAGTCAAATGGTAGACACAATATTTCTCAACAAGGGCATTTTTGGTATGTGGACAAGATGATTCATTATGAAGGATGATCTCATTTCAAGCTACTTCTTAGCATCTTTGGTCCCTGCCCACTAAATGCCAATAGCGCCCCCTAGTCATGTGGCAACCAAAACACTCTGGTAGCTGAAAACCACACCCCTTTTAGCTGTAACATTCTGTAATGCTAGAACTCCCTGTTTGTCAGCATCTACAAACCTCATGGGGGTTTCAAGGGGAACACTGGACAAACGGTCAAAAGTTCAGAGCTCAAGGGTCTGTTCTGCCCCTAAATTTGTAACTTTGGATACATCACCTCTTGAATCTCAGTTTCCTTATTTCAATGTTTAGAAGAAAAGTTTTGAGGGCTCTGTGGTCCCTTCAAACTCTATAAATATATAATTCTGTGATACTCCCTCCCTCCCTCGGTCTCTAGCAGAGACTATTGACAACACTGACCTCTGCCAAGAGAAAACAGCTCTAGGCCACAGTGAGAAGAGCCTAGTCACAGGCAAGGCCACCTCAGCTCCCCAAGTAAGGCCTCCCAGGAAGGGTATGGGATGCTGTACAGACTGGGAGCATTCCTATTGCATTTTTAATGTTTACCAAGTTTAACAAAGCTGTAAACTTGGAGCAGGTGGCTTGCACTCCCACAGCTGCCCACAACTATTTGTGCTATAATTGTTCACTGTTTCACTGCAACCTTGGTGGCTTGCATTTGGCTTCCAACTGTATGTGCAATGGGAACAAAACACAATCTGGGAAGTCACTTATTGAGTCTCTTTAGCCCACCCTAGATCTGTATTTTCAGTCTTGGTTCACATACTGCCTCTTTTCTCTGGCTCTTTTCTCATGTACTTTTCTTTCCTCTCAATCCTACCTATATTAGGAGACTCTCTTGAGTATTGTATCCACTCTCTTTCTATTTCCCAGTAGCTCGTGACCAGTGTGCTGAATTCCTGGTCTTTATCCTAGGCAGGAGAAGCAGTTCCGGTGCCAGCTTCACTAAATAATTATTGACCTGGGCAGATCCTCTAATCCTAATCTCTTGGCCTCAATGTTCTCATCTGTAAAATTCAAGTATTGCTGTATTTTTGTCTGGGTCCCTTCCAGCTCACAAATTCTCATCCTGGGTCTGATTTTCTGAGGGCCATGAATATGTTCAAGTTTCCCACTGCCATTCACTAATGACCTGCAAAGTTATTTCTGGCAGCAGGGCTGACACCTCAGCAGTGATTGTGATAGTTCAGGGTCCAGTGGAGCCAGTGATACTAGGAACTGAGCCTGCCCAACATTGGGAAGTCATGTGTGCTGCGTGGAAGAAACTGGCCAAATGCCTTAGTCCAATAGGCCACTTGCTGGCTGTGTGTCCTTGGGCAAGTTCCATAATCTCTACAAGTCTCAGTTTCTTCGTCTCATGTCAAGAGGAGTAAATAAGGTAATCTATGTAAAGTTCCTGACACATAATAAGTGTGCAGTAAATGCCCACTGCCTTCCTTTTCCTCACCTCAGGACTCTAGCTGGCTGGGGAGGAAGAGGGGAACAATTGTTGTCTTTCTAACATCTCTAAGATGTTCTTCCAAAGCGGAATCCTCTCAGATTTTTAAGATAATGTGTTGCTAAGACACTCATTAAGACTATAAGAATGGTAGAGGTGAAAAACCATGAAACAGGAGGAGATGGTAGTCAGAGGGTAGCATCATTTTATGAGCTTGTTCCCTCACCAACCAAGGACACAGGCCCTTGTTTACCCCACCCTACATCCTTGCCTCCAGGATTATGAGCCTGGCCGCACCTTGGCCCTCTTGCCTGTGCCCGTCCTTAAGAGTGATTGAAGCGACTCCCACTGACTACTGATATTGCTTACGTTCCAATTATGTTGTCTTATACCTCACCTTCTCACCATTTTGATGGGTTGTCTTATGGCTCTGTTGAGAGTGTCAGAGAGACAGGGAAGAAGATAATAATCTCATTCCACAGGGGTCCTGAAGAGGGATATGGTAATGCCCACTGAGGTCAAATAACAATGCCATGCAATTGGAAGAAGAGGGAACTGGACTCAGAAGGTCTGGGTATGAATCCAGTTGCTACCATTTAATTGTGTGGGCAAACCTCAGCTCCCTTACCTATCAGATGGGGTTATTGTGAGAATCCAGTTAGAGCATGTGGGTGAAATGAAGCCTTCTACAAATGAAAATTTCACACACCCATGCACACACATATGTATATAAGTGCAAATATTGACATGCTCATATGATTTTACATATATCATATTAAAGAGAGTTTTGGATTGGGAGTTAAGAGAACTGGATTCTAGACCTAATCCTGCCACTACTTCCTGTGGAAATTTGAGCCCTTCACTTAATTCTCTCAGCCTGTTTCTCTGCTGTAAACTACTACTAATTTGACACCTCTCCCGTTCTAGACCTCAGTGGCTCTGACCCCGTGCTGTGCCATCCTGGACTGTTAGCTGCCAGCAGGGGCTGCCATGTGCACATTTAGTGCCCCCAGTGCTCTGCTGCATAACTCCTAATGAGTGCAAGAGCCCTCAGTGGTTCTGAGATGGAGGTTTCACAGGAAAGGTGTGGTTTTGGTGAAGCAGACTCTGCAGAAGAGGATGAAAGGAAATGCAAGGAAGTGATTTCAGCTTTTGGTGTCTCCTTCTCTGTTTTATAAGCCTCTAGGGCCAGATTCTGTGTTCTGTGTCTGCTAATTCCTTGTTGCAGCCTGGAGCCATATTAGCTCAGAAGAGGAATGGGAAGCTCTGGGAGCAGAGGAAACTTTGATTGCTCTTGTCTGGAGAAACCAGAAAGAGGATATGGAGCAAGTCAGTGTGCCATATAAGCCACCAGTTAGACTTTTTGGCCTGGGGTTTCAGGAGTAGAGAGATGCCAGGAAACTTTCACGATTGATTGAGAACATGGGGTAATTCTCATTCTCTTGGAGCTGCCATCAGGGCTGGGTCTATTTGAAATCTTGGAAAAGGTTTCCCCATGTGATCTCGGGGCTCAAGTATGTCAGGTACTGCACCAGAAGCACCCTTAGGGCCACAATCAGGCACAGTCTAGGCATCCAAGTCCGTAAATGAGGGTTCCTGTCTCTGATTTCAGTGAGTGAACCAATCATAGGGCCTGCTACTTGAGTCTCAAGTCTTTAGGTGAGAGATAGTTCCCATTCTCAGAAACAGACAAAATGTGGGTGCCCTATACCCTATAGGATGGAAGAAGGAAAACTTAGAAAACTGCAGTGTGTACAAGATTAGGATATTCTGTGTCTGGAATACATATTCTTTAAGGTTGGCTGAAGAAAATAGATTTAATTCAGAGAAGAAAAATAAGGTAAGTCATGAGGATTTTCTTCAGATATTTCAGAGACTATTCAGAGACAGATTTAGCCTAGAATCCTCTAAAATGAGAGCAAACCTGAGAGTACAATTTAAAAGAGAAATATTTCACCACAAAAGAGCTCATTTTCCAAAGGCTTGCCTAGTCTGAGGACAGGGTGCTCCAAGATTCTCACTCAGTGGGAGGTTGAGCTAAAAGAGTTCTGCTTCCCATTGAACTCTAAAATTCTATTATTCTCTTCCATTCTCCTTCCCCCACTCCCACTTCACTTTTGGAGCCTGTTGTCTCCATGGTCACCAGCCAAATAGCTTCCTCAGGCCACTAAAAGGCCACACAAAGAAGCTGTGCTATAAGAGGGAGTGGCAATAATATTTTCTCCAGGAAATCTCCAGCTGCAAGTCCATCCTCTGTCTTGTTCCTTGGTTTCTCACCTTTCTGAGAGAAAGACTGACATTTACATCCAAGACAATAATAGTTCCCATTCTGGGTAGGTCAAAGGGAACCTTTGGGGAATCTCTGTCATCCACAAAAGAGAGAATCTGCCCAATGCCTCATGTGCTCACAATGCAGTAAACATTGTCCTCTAGGGAATCAGTGCTACCCAAGACATAAATATCTCTAATGTCTTTTAACAAACAGGGAAGCAACGTGAAGTTGGGCCAAAGAAGTCAACTTACATCAAAAAGCAGAACTCATGTTTTTACGGAAAAGCCAAACTAAGAACAGGTGTTTGGTTACATCCCAGTGTCCTGCCCTATGTATCTTGTTCAATTCCAATTTGAAGGGAAAACTATCCAAAAATTAGAAAAGAAAGAAGCAACTTTCATCACAGTGATTGTTGTATTCTAACATAGTAACCTAAGGCAACCAGCAAATGCTAAGAATCCTAGGCCAGAATGACATTTGACCAGAAGTGATCTGGTTCATTCTCCCTACCCTTAGATAGTCGGTGGCAAAGCCAACTAGACTAGAAGATGTTCTAGGTTTAAAGACCTTTGGGGAAGGGATGCCCACAGTCTCAGTCCTGTCTGAACACTTAATTTTATAAGAACACTGTGACCCACTATAGCTGGGACTTTATAGATAAAAATAAAGAGTTTTAATAAGCATTATCTCATTTGACATTCTGAAGAGCCCCATGAAGAAAATAGAACAATTCCTGCCTTCCTCACATTTTAGAATTGAAGAAAATTAGTCTTAGGGCATTAAGTGACTTACTCAAGAGTCACACCACTATGGGGGCACCTGGGTGGGCTCAGTTGGTTAAGCGTCCGACATGGGCTCAGGTCATGATCTCATGGCTCAGCTAGTAATATGAGCCTTACCTGCTTGCAGTTTCTCACAAAAATAAATAAATGTTAAAAAAAAGAAAGAGTCACACAACTCTTAAGTGATAGAGCTAGAAAGTATCTAGCACTCCATTTTCCTGGCCCCGAACCCAGTGCACCTTCCTCAATT